GGTGCCGGGATGCGAGGCCACGGAGGCGACACCCGAAGGCTCGGCCATGTGGCGGCTCAGGGCCCCCGGTCCCCATGTTGTGTGCCTGGCGACCAGCCTTGGCCCTGGGAGGCCCACCTGCGCCACAGAGAAGGTCTGGTACTTGAAGGGGACGTGGGCGGTCTCCCGGGGGCGCAGGAAGAGCTGGGGTGCGAGGCCGCCACGCAGGCGGAACATGTCCTCCTCCACAGGCGTGTGCAGGCCGGCCGCGGCCTTCAAGTGCCTCCACTCCTGGCTGTCCACGATGAGGCTGGGCGGGAGGCAGAGCTGAGCTAGAACGTTCCCCTGGGGCCCCAAGGCCCCACAGGGAGGGAGGGAGGGCCCGGCCCGGCCCATCCCACCCCACCCCTCTGAGCTGGCCCCACCTGAGCTCAGGGTTGTCCACCTCGATGGTCACAGTGTGCGGCGTGTTGTGGGGGTTCCTGAGGGCGAACTCGAAGAACTCCGCGGTGCCCAGCGAGGCGTAGAGGGTGTGCTCCACGGTGATGGCCAGGCTCAGCGCGCTGGCGATGTTCTGGGCCTTGGTGCGCTCCCGGTAGGCGGCGATGACCTGCAGGTCCCGCACATGCTGAGCCCGGACGTTCTGTTGAGCCTGCAAGACACCAGCCCGAGCCAGGGCCACATCCTGGGCCGCGCTCCTCGAAGCTGTTTCCTACCACCTCCCCCACCCCACCCCGAAGTCCAGGTTTCTCCTGGACTCACCCCTCCCCCGCTCACGTGGGCTGAGCAGGACTGGCCGGGCCCCATCTCCAGGGACGGAGCAGGGCATGCCTGTCCCTCCACGGACGCCTGCGGCACTCCTGGCTGCTCTCCACCCATGGGAGGTGGGGTCTGCCCTGCAAGCTCCGGACTGACTACGCCGCCGCCACCACCCCACACCCAGGAGGCCGGTTCCGGGCACCGCGGGGAATGGGAGTTAGAGGTTTCCAAAAAAAAGAAAAGAACCCCCTCAACACTGACAGGTGGCCGCTCCCCAGCCGGGTCCCCGTGTGGCAGCCGGCGCCCTGTCTGCAGCA